TGCCGCCCCCCTTCCCCTCCCTGGCTCGCGTCCAGGGCTGGCCCACAGAAGTCAGCCCAGACACGGGAAAGCCAGCAGAGAGGACACCGCCGCGTTTTGTTTATTAAAGTTAATTGGGGACTGCAGGCCCAGGGAAGCCTATGATTCATTAGCATCTTGATTAATATGCAGCTGTGGAGTATTAAGAAAAATGAAACAGAAAGGAATCAAATCCCCCAAGGAGAAGTTGGAAAAATAAAGGCACTCTCAGCTGACATCTGATGCGGCTTTTGTCCACCTCCACACCCCCAAATTTGAATGAACCCAATTTGAGTGTTTTTGTTTTGTTTTTTAACTATTTGCAAGGACACCATGAAAATCCGCTCCAGCTTCATCCCTTGAGCTAGGGAGAGAGCTTCGAACCATTGGCAGCACCAGCAGGTGGGGAACAGTTTTGTGCAGAGCCATACCTGGTGAAGTCATGGAGTTTAATTTCAGGGCGCTAACTCCTGGGACAGTCCAGGAGGTCCAAGAGAAGCTGAGACCCGCAAGTCAAACTGGGTGCCAGGAGGAATGTGGAATGTTCCAGTCAGCCCTGTCAGTGGCTCATTCATTTAGCCAATCAGTGAACGCGTAGGGAGCCTTAGGGGTACTGAAAAAACATGGGGGAGGATTTAGTCCCTGCCCTCAGTCGTGCAGTGGAGGGGCCCGCTGTGCATATCTACGGTGGCCTTATGATCTGCAGACCGAGAGGCTGTTAGGGTACAGGAGTGCAAGGATAAAGAGGATGGTCTCGGGGAATTAGAGAAGTCCCACCTTGTGCCAAATGTCAGGAGGCGGTAGAAAATAGACGGGGGTGGAGGGGGAGCAGGTGGTGTGGAGAGTAAGGCAACTGGATCCCACATGGTCGAATGTGTGGTTTGAGTCCCAGACCAGCGGCCTGAAAATCATACCAGGCACGTGTGCACATGTGCCCAAAATCCCAAGAGGAGACTGGAGAAGGGATAGTGGCGTGGCTATCTCCCTGGAGGGTGACGCTCTCGCTCTCCCCAGGGGGAAAAAAAAAACCAGCCTGGAAAGAGAGGGTGCAGGCCAGGGCCCTGGAAGTCCTGGTGTATTGTGCAGCTGAGCCTTTTCTTTCTTGATTTCACTGGTTGTTGTGTCTGTGTGTGTGTGTGTGTGTGTGTTTTAGAAAGGGTCCCACTGTCATGATGCTCCCGCCGCAGCCTCCCAGGTAGCTGACACTGCAGGTGCAAGCCTTTTAGGATGGACCAGGCATTGAACCCAGGCTTCCCAAGTGGCCTCAGCTTACTGAGCAGCAATGTCTAGTGTATGTCACAGCAGCTGGCCCTGACACAGTATTTGATTGACATAATTACAGTCACAGTGGGGGACAAGATTAACGTGTGTGTGTGTGTGTGTGTGTGCATTTAATATACTTTTTTCAAAGTATTAAGTTTATTATTATTTTAAAATTTGCTATAGGGCATGTGCACACTCTTTTTTTCTTTTGGAGAGGTTTTTGCTATAGGGTGCATGCGCTCGCCAGATAGACAGAGACAGACAGAGAGACAGAAAGCGAGAAATCAAAAGCGAGAAATCACCCCCCCCCGGGGGGGGATGGCCACACCGCAATCTCTTCTCTGTTCTCCTCTCGGGATATTGGGCACGCATGCACACGTGCCCAGCGTGAGTTTTAAGCCACCGAGTCCGGGACTCGAACCGCGGTTGACTACATGGGAGGCCAGCAACATAGCCATTACATTAACTGCTGGTCCCAGGATTTGGCTCTCTTAACCACCAGGCCACAGAGCTGTCCCTAAATACAGGTTGACAGACACCTACCTCACCTGGGAGCAGAGACATGCAGGTACACAGCGCCAGTGGCCGGCATGTGCTGAGGCATCCCCAGTAGGTGTGGAAAGCAGTGCAGTATGTTGTCACCCCCAAGGCCACTGGACAAAGCAGCTGCACTATTTATAGTAGCACTAGTGCTCATTCTAAAGAAGCAGGTTGGAAGGGCTGGCCGGTGGCTTGGTGGTTAAGGGTGCTGGGCTCTCACACGGCCGACTGCAGTTCGAGTCCTGGACCTAGCGGCTTGCTTTCTCTCTCTCTCTCTCTCTCACTCCATCCCTCTCTGGTCAAAATGGAAATAAATGAATAAATACATTTAAATAAAAAAATTTTTATGAGAGATTTTCGCTATTGGGCGCGTGTGCTCGCCAGACAGACAGAGAGAGACAGAGAGACAGAAAGCGAGAAGTCACCCCCCAGGGGGGATGGCCACGCTGCAATCCCTTCTCCTCCATTCTCCTCTCGGGATCTTGGGCACGCACGCACACGCGCCCGGCATGAGTTTTAAGCCACCGGGTCCAGGACGCGAACCACGGTCGACTACGTGGGAATCCAGCGACATAGCCATTACGCTAACTGCTGGTTCCCAATAAAATATTTTTTTTAAAAAAGCAAGTTGGCATGATAAAATACAGTGGGCTTTGGGGTGGGACAGATCTCCTTGTTCCAGAACCTCGGGCACATTCCGTGTGTGCCTCTGGGTCTGCTCTCTAAACTGTGAGATGGCAGTGCCATCCCCCTCTCAGGACAGGTGTGTGAGTGGAGTCACTGAGGAAGAGTGCAGCGCGGCGCACACGGGGCAAGTCGGCCCTCCTCCCACCGGCCCATTGGGATAGGCCCCCCGGGCGAGAGTGGTGCCATCTGGCTCTCTGTGCTTTCAGAAGTCAGGTTTCCAGCCCCAGCGTCGCCACCTCCAGCGCTGGTCGCCAGCTGCCGATGCTGGAAGGGAAGCCGGGACCCTGCTTCTCCTCTCTGGAGTCCAGCATCGAGGTCCTGAAGAAGAGAGCCCAGGAGCTGATCGAAAACATCAACGAGAGCAGGCAGAAGGACCACGCGCTCATGACCAACTTCAGGGACAGCCTCAAGATCAAGGTGACGGGCTCCTGGGGCACGAGGGGCATCCTTTTCTTTTCTTTTCTTTTCTTTTTAATTTTGCCAGAGGATATATGTGCTTGCCAGAGAGAGACAAAGAGAAAGTGAGAAAGCACTCCCCCCATGGGGAATTATCATGTCAAAATCTCTTCTCTATTTCTCTTTTGTTTTTAAGTGAGATTTTTGCCATAGGGAACTTGTGCTCCCGGGACTCGAACCCCATTTGACTACGTGGGAGTCCAGCAACATAGCCATTACGCCATCTGCTGGCCCCTAGTTCTCCGTTTTTTGCTATAGAGCACATGCACTTGCCAGAGAGGACAGAAAGAAGGGAAGTGAGAAATCACAAACAGCCACACACAGTCCCTTCTCTGCCACTCTCCTGTAGGGATTTTGGCCGAGCACGCACACACACAGGCCTGATTCTCAGGGTCTGGGACTTGAACCGTAGAGTTGGCCATGTGGGATCCAGCGCTTCAACTTCCATGCTGCCTCATGACCCCTCTTGTATTTATTTATTTATTTATTTACTTATTTACTTATTTATTATTATTATTTTTTGAGAGGTTTTTGTTATAGGGTGCATGTGCTCGCCAGAAATACAGTGAGAGACAGAGAGACAGAAAGGAAGAAACCACCCCCCAGGGGGGATAGCCATACCACAATCCCTTCTCCTCCAGTCTCCTCCTGGGATCTTGGGCATACACGCACACATGCCAGGCGTGAGTTTAAGCCACCGGGTCCGGGACTCGAACCGTGGTCAGCTACGTGGGAGTCCAGTGACATAGCCATTATGCTAATTGCTGGTCCCCTGTATTTTATTATATAGGGTCTCCTTGATGTTAGCCTCCCAGCTCAGGCCACAGGCTCACACCAACAGCCTTTTTAGACAAAAGACTGTTCATTGCCCAGAACAGTCTGAGCTCCTGAGCCTCCTGCCTCAGCCTCCCAGAGCTGCTGGGATTTCAGGGAGAGCCACCATGCCCAGCCCTAGGTTGCACCAAGAATCGAACCCACGTTTCTCATGAGGTCACAGGCTGCAGAGCTGTGTCTTGCCAGCCTTTGCCACTCTAGCTGGGCTGCCTTTTTTTTTTTTTTTAAAATAACCCCAGAACAGTCTGAGCTCCTGAGCCTCCTGCCTCAGCCTCCCAGAGCTGCTGGGATTTCAGGGAGAGCCACCATGCCCAGCCCTAGGTTGCACCAAGAATCGAACCCACGTTTCTCATGAGGTCACAGGCTGCAGAGCTGTGTCTTGCCAGCCTTTGCCACTCTAGCTGGGCTGCCTTTTTTTTTTTTTTTAAAATAACTTTTTTAGGGGCTGGCAGGTGGCGTGGTAGTTAAGGGTGCTGCACTCCCACATGTACGACCATGGTTCAACTCCCAGACCTGGCAGCTTTGTTCTTACTTTCTCTCCTGGTCAAATTAAAATACAGTTAAATAAAATAATTCTTTCTTTAAAAAAGGCACTTAAGGGAACCAGCAGTTGGCGTAATGGCTATGTCGCTGGACTCCCACGTAGTCGACCGCGGTTCACGTCCCGGACCCGGTGGCTTAAAACTCACGCCAGGCGCGTGTGCGTGCATGCCCAAGATCCCGAGAGGAGAATGGAGGAGAAGGGATTGCGGCGTGACCATCCCCCCTGGGGGGTGATTTCTCGCTTTCTGTCTCTATGTCTCTGTCTGGCGAGCACACGCGCCCTACAGTGAAAATCTCTCAAAAAAACAAAAAAAAGGCACTTAAAAAAAAAAAAGGCACTTAAAAATAATTTTAAAAAAATTCATGTTAGAGGAACCAGCAGGTAGCATAGTTGCTAAGGTGCTGGACTCCCACGTGGCCAACTGTGGTTTGAGTCCCAGCCATGGTGCTTGCTTTCTCACTTTCCTTCACTTTCTGTCTCTCTCTGGTCAAATTAAAAAATAATAAATACATAAAATAAATATCTCTTTGAAAAAAAATTCATGATACAGCACATGCGTGTGCACATGACAATGAGGGGGGGAGAGAGAGAGAGGAGCACCCTCTATGGGGTCTGGTCACACAGCGATCCCTTTCTGCCAGTCCTTTAGCCCGTCAGATCCTGGGCGCTTGCGTGTACACAGGGCAAGTCTCAGAATGACCTTGACAGGGATTTGAACCAAGGTCACCACGTGGGATCCAGCTTCTCTCGAGCAGCACATTACGGCTGCGCCACAGGGCCAGCCCCTGCGTTTACCATTTATATAAGATAAACCGCAGGAATCTGAGAGATCCGCTTAGAACCAGTGTCTAGCGATGCCTCATTTGGTTTCCAAGAACACGTCTTCCTCCTTGGAAGGTCTCGGACCTGACGGAGAAGCTGGAGGAGAGGATGTACCAGATCTACGACCACCACCACAAGGACCTCCACGAGC